ATTGTCCTCTAACCATCAAATTGAGTGGTCTGGTCCCTACTTTTATTCTGTAAAATTCTTATTAGAATTTTTACCATACCTATTCTGTTAGCAGTCAAGAATGAATAAGATTTAGTGTATGCACTAAAACTTAGTTCACATCTTTACATTTTTGGCTTTGGATCAAATGAAAATGGGCCAGTTCATAATAATGACTAACAATTATACAGCACTTACTATGTCCCACTAGGGGTCTAGGACTTTATAGACTTCAAATCATTTAATCTTTATATGATGTAGCTACTAGTATTTTCCTCTTTTTTAGATGAGGAGACTGAGGCACAGAAAGGTTAAACAACTTGCCTGAAGTCACACAACTAATCACAAGTAGAGCTGGAAATTGAATACAGATATATTACAACATAAACTTGTGATAAACCTATAGATTGATTCATTAAATTCATAAAATAATTGTAGCGCATATTTTAAAAACCTATAGCATCATGGACTGATCATTGTTAGTATTCATATTAAAAAGTACGCTCAATCAAAAAGTCTCTTTAAATAAAAAACAAAAGAAAAGCTCTTGCATTTCAACACGCTAGTGCCTGGAATAAATGCATGCATTAAACGTGAAAGAAATGGGGAACCCAGACAAGTTGAACCTGGCTACCTAGACCTTTTGGTTGACTTACTTGGAGCAGATAAATTGAAATAATAAAGAAAACTGGCAGCTTTCTACACTGTGTTCTTGCTAAAAACCTTGTTGCAAATTCAGAAGGAACCTATGCGTATCATTCCTGGCCCTTTTGTTCTCTGTGTTTGTGACAGAAATAGCGTGGTTGTGCTTTCTCTTTTCCACTATGCACAACATACTGCAAAACTTGTTTGAGGAAAGATCACTTTAGGAGGATGGAGAGGGTTTTAAAGACAGTTAATAGAGGAAAAAAAAAAAACTTTGTGTCAGGTAGAAAGGCAAAGGGGGGAGAATCGTTTTCTTTTTTAATTGTGCTAAACAGTTGTTTCCCTCTCTGAAAGTTCATTATATTTATTTGTCATCAGGCTAATTGAGCTACACTTGTTGCTAAGTCTGTTGCTTGCCTTCTGATGAACGGATTCATTAAGTTCATTTCTAATCTCTGTCTTCTAAATTCAATAAGCACTATAAAATTTCTTTCCTTGTATGGGAATTCTAAGGTCTTTTTTTTTCCCTCAACAGCTTGAATTCCTGTATTCTGATTAAGATAGATGAAGTATTTGCATTCTATCCATATTCATAATCCTCTTTCAGAGTCAACCTAAAATACCACATTTGTTGCCCAGGCAGACACAGGCAATGTGTTCTGATTGCTCTGTAGCTTTTTGTTTAGATGGATAAGGACCTATCCCTTTTCAAATTCAACAGAAGAGGTGGTCACTAGGTGAATTCAGGCTGTTAAGAAACCAGAACAATCACTGTTTCTTTTGTGTGTGACAGAAACTGTAATTAATGATTTCCCCCCTTTTTTGCTAAAGAAAAAAAAAGAGAGATGTGCAGTTGACAGACATTTTATTAATAGTTTCTGCCAACTTGCCATGCATAAAAGGTTTTATTGGTTGCAATGCCAGTGTAAGAAAAGTTCTTTTTGATGAAACGTTCAAGATGGTTGTTTTATGGATGAAAAATGAAGGCAATCTGTCTACTGCCAGTGAAATTTGGGTTTCAATAATAAAATTAAAACTATTGTGACATTTCCTATTGCGTTATTTAACCAGCTGCCTCCTACTGGTCCAATCAATGATAACATTACCTGGGTCCTCTCTTTTTAACCAGAAGACCTGCCAATATTGCGTCTCATGGTTAATTTACGAGGAGATTTAGTACTGCTTAAGGTGTTTATGTATTTGGTGACTGCTGTTCTTCCTATAAAGGGGAACTACTTTAGTCTCATGGTTGAGGGTTAAATATTCCACCTCGACAAAATGGATGTTTGTGTCCCTTCAGGAACTAGAAGTGTAGGAACCATACGAGAGGGCAACAAGAGACGTATGCCGATGACAAACTCTCACCAGGTGTGTAATATATGACTCTAAGTCATTATTTTCTCGTTCAGCATTGAATTTAAAACACATCTTCCAAAATGTTTTCTCCGTATTGACACGTTAAATTCATAGTTACCCGTATTAGAATTTTTCCCCTTTTGAAATTGTTTCGTGCAAGTTTTTATTTAGAGTAGTCGGGTCGTTTCAGTGATTCCTGCTCATCAATCAAGAGGGGGAAAAAACACATTTTACCACATGGATTCACGATAAAGCAATGAAGGTGCCTCACTGTGGCTTATTTAATCTTCCGTTACAGTGGGGTGAGAAGAAAAGGGATATTCAATATTTTAATAAGTCTTTGGACTTTGTTGCAGCCCAAGTGGAATTTGATCAAGAAATGTGAAGGATAAGATACTAAAGCATTCTAATCATTGACCACTTGCAAATATACCTGTTTTATTTGGCTTATAACAACCATCATTATTAATTTAAACAACACTCAGTATTTGCCCATATCTTTTACAAACTTTAATTTTTAAAAGTCTTAAATAGCTCACATTTCAGAAGAAGGCAGGCAGCTGGAAATGTGCTCTTTGCACATTGATCTTCAAGCAGTCATTCCTTTTCTCTGGGAATTTTTACGTAAGCTGCCTTATTGGGAATATGCTAATGACATCCGCCATGATTACTGATTTTCTTTGAATCGTTATTCCTCTGTGGGCAAAGCAATCAGAAAGGGAGAACAGGAGATTTCCTTCTTGCTTGTGTGCCTTCTTCAACCATCTGCTCTCTCCTGATTCATTTGAATACGATCTGCAGTTTTTAGATCCTTTGCTCCAACATTTCTGAGGCATTTGAAAGCTTAAAAGGAGTTAATAGTTATCTTTCTATGTCACAAATGTGGTTCTCTGTTGTGTTCTAAGTGCCAACTTGCCTACCCAGGGTTTACATGGGCAGACTAATTTTGTTAAGTAAAAAAATGGTAGTGTAGATTAGCAGTTTCATTTTATGGAATGTGTAGTTCTGAACACTTTTGCTATTGATGGCCTTGAGCACAGGCATTGAAAAAAAAAAGGTAACTAATGTATTAAAACAAAGTATTCCAGGAACAGAATTGTTGATTCTAAATCTTTCAAGATGAAGAAAAACTAAAACTGGAGAACTAGAGAGAGAGAGAGAGAGAGAGAAGAGGGAGAGGAAATTTGTAAAAGAGAAGTTGTGATGTACACTTTTTAGAGTAACGTTTGTAAATATTCAGATAAGAATTCTGGATTAAGGATGAGAACTTCTGGGTGCCAGCCCGTACCCCACCACCAAAGTGTGATTTACTCTCTCTTAGGAAAGTTACTTACTTTCTCTGAGCTTCTGTTTCCTCTGCGGTGACAAGAAATGAATGTCATGTTCCTCTGCGGTGACATGAAATAAATGTCATAGGTGATATTTAAGGTTTTCTCCACCAGGAAAATTGTGTGACCATATTATTTATTCCCATGAAACACATTGCAGATGATGGGGAAGTTACTTTATGGATTTGGTTTGCGCATGGGCATTTGATCTTGCCCAGGGAAAAACGATTTCAAAAGTAAATCATCCACCTTTAGAAGAGGGGCTCAGAGCCTCCAGATTACACTTTTAAAAACGATGAGTATACACAAAATTTTAAAAATGGGACACCATATCTTGCTTCAGTTTACACGGAATGGATAAATTGCTAAGGATGTTGCTGATTGATAGAAGCAAGTCTTCCACATCAGTGAGTGAAAATCAGCAAGATTCTGACACCCTAGCAAAACAGAGCTAACTTAATATGCAGAACTGCCATTTAGGCAAGAGAGTTTGCAAAACTTGATGCTGTTAGGTCAGGGAACATTGTCAAAACACGAAGGAGACGTGAGTTGGGGAATGTTGACACTCCCTTTCGCTATTCAGCTCATTTAAAAGTGAAGAGAGCTATTAATGTAAAATTGCTTCAGAAAGTGCCTCCATCTTGTCCTTCGCACCCAGGAATTCTTCCTATTTTCTTCACATCAAGAACCGGATTGAGAACAACCCACCCAGCTACCACCATCTTTTACACAATTGTGAGATTTTTGAACAAGTACATAGCATCTACCGACCCTAACTTCTGATGAGGCTGCTGGCTTGTGCTGTGAAAGACCACTGACCACTCCCTCCACCTTATAAATGTAATTCTTCTGATGTTCTGTGTCTTCTCTGACAACCATTAGGGATTTGTGTTCTGATTTCCGTGGGATACTTCTGGCTTATTACAAACTGAGTGGCAAAGCCAAGACTTAAATGGAAATTACTTCACTGCTGTGTTTCAGCTGACCAGAGACAAACTCACGCCCAAAATAACTTCCACTCCCTTCCTTCCACATATCCCAACAAAGGGAAGAAACACACAGCCACTGTCTTCTTTTTTGATGTATTATACAAATAGAACACTTTTGAGAAACAGGCCTAAAAATAGCAGAGAACAAGCGTATCTTAATATTTCATGAGATAAAATTTCAAAAGGCCTGAAATTACAGATAGGCAGGTAGCCAGTGATATATGGAGAGAAGTATTTATTGCAACCATCGGCCTACGTTTGATAGACAGCAAATACTCTTTCACTAGAAGTTTAGCCAGTGGTTTACTAATACACTGTCCTGTGTTGTGACATCCAGGGAAACCTGATACTTCATCTGCTTGGCTATCGCATTTATTTTTTTTTTAGGATTTTGTTTGTTTGCTCCTGAAATATAGTTCGCAGATCTCCTTGAGGTTCAATGGCTTTGCCTCTTGTAATGGTTAGAGGAGCATATAACAATTAGATGTGGGTGTTTCTCATTAGTATTAGTGTCATATATATATGTATGTGTATACACACACACACACACAGACACACACACACACACACACACACACACACACACACATATATATAGTTTAAAAAGAATTTTTATTTTTTTTGCAGGCTGTATCACTTACATATATTTTCTGTTTCTTTCTAGATTAAAAAATATGCATTACATGCTCGATGTCCGAAGAGATCATAATCCAAGTAAGTCATTTCGTACTACTCGCACACATACTCTTCGGTCCCCCCAGCCCCACAAATGACCTTCCTGTTCTGTTTCTGGATGGGGAAGAAATCCAGAAAGGAAGTGTGCTCACCGGCTCCCGCATCAGCAAATTTCGGATCTACGTGCACTCAGACATCAGAGCAGTATCTGGATGGCAACATTAAATGCCTTGCTGTTTAAAACGTCTTTGTGAACTCAGATTATTGAACATTATATCCAATTTTGAGGACGATTTTGTTCACATGAGATCAGTTTTTCCAAGTTTAGAAATGCAGCATTCTTAGTTTAAATATTGCACGGTGATGGTTTTCAATGATTAGAAACACATTCATACTATAGCACGTCTGGGCCCAAGAATACCTCATTTATAGCCCATTTTTCTCTAGCAACAATCTAAGTATTTCTAGGTTGTATTACATTTCTCATTCTCATGCGCTCTCGGTCAATAGACTGTCATTATCAGAATAAAGTTCTTTACATTTAACTGAATTTTGAACTTATGAAACATACACAAATCTACTTGAAAATTGATATGAAAAAAGTGAATGGAATTTAAAGTGTTCTTCACTTCTTTGGTCATTTTACAGAGACATTTATGTAAAAATGCCTTTTATGTGTGTTCCACATTTACTTTTTCTTTTCTTTTCTCTTTCTTTCTTTTTTTAATTAGTGCAAACCACCTGTGCAAAGTCATGGGAGTTTTCAACCTATTAGATAAATATAATCAAAATATTAGATTAGAAAAAAGATGAAAGGAGTATCACTGGAGATTGGCAGTTTTTTTCCCCCTGGAAACAAACAAAACACACGTACTCTTTACTGAACTATTGCACTGCATTGAATAAAGATATTACCATGTGTAGCTAAAACAACAACAACAACAACAACAACAACAACAAAACCCCAGCAGTTTCTAAGTATTTGTGAGGAAACATACTTTAGACTGACATTTGTGTACATTTTTCTGTATCTCCTCCTCAGCCTGTCCATTCTTCCAGTAAATGTGTATTTGGATAACCTCTGCCTCAAACTCTGGAACATAACTGAATGCTCGTGGGAATTGACAATGTTATTGAGTATACAACTTTAGTTCCTTTGTACTTCAGCAACATTCCCCATTTTAGTTTTTTATGTTTTTTTTTAAATCTATTTTGAGAGAGAGAGAGAGACAGAGTATGGAGGAGGGAGAGAGAGAATCCTAAGCACCGTCAGCATAGAGCCTGCTGGGGGGCTTGATCTCAGGAACTGTGAGATCATGACCTGAGCGAAAATCAAGAGTCAGAAGCTTAACTGACAGAGCCACCCAGGCGCCCGCCCCCATTTTCAAATATATCTTTAAATGGACTTTTACTGCTAGAACTTCAGTGTGATTAGACCCTTTTCTTTTCTTGACTTTAAACTGATACAACCATTAGCCTGCCTGTTCCTTCTATCTGGTAGTCTTATCACTTCCTGCCTCCTTTGTAAAGTCTTAAGACATTTTCAAACAGGTGTACATTTTGGTGCAGTTACTGTTCCCCTGTTGAATCAATAATCACAAACTAGAATTAGAAATTAAATGAGAATTAGAAATGGAATTAGAAATTTCTCATTCATAAATCTGCCAAATGTGAGGTAGATTTTCCAACTCATATATGCAGAGCATGAGAAATACACTTTCATGTGTTCTCCAAATGAACAAAAGGCATGAAGGAAGGTTTCTTTAACTCTGGAAGCGAGAGATGAGTTCAGAGTTATACATGCCACTGGGGGAGAAAAAAAAAAGAAATAAGGATATATAACACGACATCCATTTTAAAGAATTTGCATCTATCAGCACTGTATTGAAATTTTGTCAATTTATAGTAGATATTCTGCATTGACCTATACATAAAGGGATTTAGCTTTTAAATTTCAGAACATGTATGTTTTTTTCATCCAAATAGTTAATGCTTAACACAAAGAGATTCATGTTTTATGATTCTCTTTTGGAATAATACCTTCAGAAGCAATTTATGGACCATACAAAAAAAAAATGAGTTCTTTTCAACCAATGAGCAATGTGCTAGGAGTTGAAATAGAATGATGGCAATAGCTTGATTCCTGACCTTGAGAAGCTTGTGGTCTAGTGGGAAGATCAGCCTTATAAACAGATGATGTCACTAAAGTGCGGTGAAGGCCAAGGGAGTGCACACATGGGTTTTGATCACATGTGGACTGTTTGGTTTGTTTACTCATCTGAGTCACTGAACAAGGCTACAAATAACTCCTGCCTGTTTTCAAAACCAAACTCCTCTCAGAAATTACAATTTCCTGTTGAGGATGTTGAAAGGAAAGATTTAGGCACGTTTTCATGAGAAAGCTAGCTCAGTGGCTTAAATATAGAAGGTATTAGAAAACTACTGATGCTGTACTGCACACAAAGCATGAGGAGGGGTGTTGTAGGGAGGGCAGAGGCACTGGCTCAGTAGATGTCTAATCTCACGTGGAGGTTAACTCTGAGTCTTTACTTTTACGTGCTGATGGTCTTTGATCTTCAGTCGTTCACTTGATTCATCATTTATACATGATTCATTGATAGGTGAATCAGGCTGGACTGCTAATCAATGTTTCCTTGAGTGGATCTGATTCTCTCTTTCCCAAATGTTTGTTTATTCTTCATGGAGGCAGGGGCAGTCTTCCTCAGCAACCTTCTAATGCGGAAAGGTCACAAGACTCTTTGGTACGTGTTGATACCTGTGTGTACTTTATAGCAATGTCATCTAAAAACTTATCATTTCCCTAGGGGACTTGTGTTCATTGATCTTGAGGCATCCTAGAAACTTATTTTTAAAAATAAAACATTGCATTTAAAGCAAGGCACAGACATAGCATTTAGACCATATCAAGGAACATTTCAATGTTTTCATTCTGCTTTGATATCAAATACACTTCAAAGTATACCGTTTTAATAGGTGACAGAAAACTTTTATCATAAACACATTTCTAAAATCACTTAAAATCTTAGAACAGGAGCAACATGGAGACTCCAAGCTTTTTATTTGGGTTAATTATGACTTTTCACACAACCGTTTCTTGTAGACCTTTATCTTTTTCCTCTAAATTCTTCTGATATTGAAAATCCCCTAATGATTTTGATTTTTCCCCCAGTTTCTAATTACTGTACGCCACAAAGGTAGGTAACCTTATTTTCGCTCCTCAAGTATATTTTCCCTCATTTCAATTCCTTGCTTTTCTTCCTTAGACTCAAGTTCCCAGTCTACGCTGAACTAATACTGTTTTATAGAGAGACATTTGAATATTATAGTTTGTCATATCATTCAAGGCATATTGTATATTTAGTGTTCTGTGAGGCTTTTTGTTTTCTTTCTGAATTTGTCGTCTAAATCTGGTTTCTGGCATAATTTCTTAAAAAAAATTTTTTTATGTTTATTTTTAAGAGAGAGAGGGAGAGACAGAGGGTTAGCAGGGGAGGGACAGAGGGAGAGAGAGAGAGACACAGAATCCAAAGCAGGCTCCAGGCTCCGAGCTGTCAGCACAGAGCCCGACGCAGGGCTCGAACTCACAGACTGTGAGATCATGACCTGAGCTGAAGTTGGATGCTCAGCCGACTGAGCCACCCAGGCACCCCTGGCATTATTCTAAAGTAAAACAAAACTGGATTTTTCAGGCATTTTCTGGGTATAATCTGTTATATGCTTATACTAACTTTACTCAGATTTCTGTTATGGAAAGGGTATCTGAGATCAGCAAGCTTTCTAGTTTTAAAGAAGAACAAATAAATGATATTTGGGCGTTTCACAGTTTCTTCCTTTGTATAGTACATGGGAAGATGGAAATATCATTGTAACAGAATACATTTTCTAAGGTGGCTATTTTTTTTTTCCTTTTAAAGAGGCTTTGTGCCAAATCATCCTGTTTGTGAAGTAAAGAAAGAAAATGCTACCTACACTGTGGACAAGATAACCTACTGTACAGAGTTCATAATGGAAATAAAACTGAACCACATCATTGTTTAAGGAAGAAAACTAAAAGTGGCTCTTCCTGCTACTGGTTTTATCCAGCAGTAAAGAGAAATCCCTGCACGTGTTGTTTACACAGTACGAAATCCTTATAAAGTCATAGTGGAACAAGTCTGCTATCTGACCCAGCCTTTAGGGCTCCTTAAACACCTGTGGATTTATGGAGTTCAGATGTCTACAAGGGCATGTATGGAAGTTCATTCAGAAACCTGGAGCCCAAATAAAATGATCTGTTGACGTGGGCAAGCTGTTTTGCTCCTCTGTGGTCCAATCAGTCTTTTGAACTAGAAAAGAGATTAAGATTTAAGCAAGTGCTATTTAAAAAAAAAAAAAGAAGAAGAAGAAGAAAGAAAGAAAGAAAGAAAGAAAAGAAAGAGAGAAAGGAAAAAAAAGAATGCTCTTTAAATAATTAGGTTTCACAAGGCTAACAAGGAAATGCAGGTGTATTTTTTGAATTTTGTTATGTGACTTAGATCAATTAGTCTTCAAATTTATTTTTTCAACGTTTATTTTTTATTTTTTATTTTTGGGACAGAGAGAGACAGAGCATGAACGGGGGAGGGGCAGAGAGAGAGAGGGAGACACAGAATCGGAAACAGGCTCCAGGCTCCGAGCCATCAGCCCAGAGCCTGACGCGGGGCTCGAACTCCCCGACCGTGATATCGTGACCTGGCTGAAGTCGGACGCTTAACCGACTGCGCCACCCAGGCGCCCCCAAATTTATTTTTAAATTTAAATTTATAACAGCCAGATCATCAGGGGATTTAGTCCCCTACGTTATGCGTGTATAAGTAGCCCCTGGCAGGTATACAAAAACATCTGGTATGGGGAACTGGCCCTTTCATAGTGAAGACCCACACAATTTAAAACATGAAAACCTATACCCTTTAGAAACTTATACTCCTTAAAAATGATCAAATATAGCCACAAAGTTGTCTTAATTAACTCCATCACAATTGCTTTCTTTGGGGGATTTGATTTAGTCTTTTGAAAATCAGAGACACCATGATTTAGAAAACTTCAGTCTTATTCTAAAGAGTTTCAAATGAACTTATCTTATAATTGTTAAACATGTGTCTCCATTTCCATATGTCTTTTTAACGTTTTATGAAAGGAAATATGCTTGAAAATACCTTGTTTAAACTCAAACTTCAAGTTACATCCAATGTAAAAAATAACCTGGTCAACATCTCTCGTATTTTTGCACTCTAATCATCCTGTGATTGAGAGTATGTGTGTGGAAATGTGGGTAAGACTTCACCATGCCTGGCTTCTTGATTCCATTTATACATTGCTAAAACTTATTTTTTTCTTCTGGAAAAGAATATATATTCCTATGCAGGTTTGGGTTTTATTTAGGGTTATCACTAAAAGAATGGACTATCCTTAAATCGAAATAGTTACCTATCAGGTAATAGTTGGCATATATATATATATATATATATATATATATATTTCTGCTCTTCCCCCACTTTTAAATTTACCCCA